AGGCCATAGTTGTATCATTGGTTGAGAATGCATCGCTTTTGGAAACCATACCCGATTTCATCCAACAAGTACCATCATTATACTGAGTCCATGTAAAGTGAGTGCATCGTTGTGTTTGAGCACATTTTTCACTACACAGTTCTCCTGAAGTTCGGACATTGGTCAGATCATTTCCACGAAAATCACATGACATGGCCCAATCATTTCCGTTCCAATTGACAATACATTTGACACAATCAAGAAACAAAATATTTACTACTATAAATTCAAGCAAAGTCCAAGTAGACAAAATATTGATCATTTTATGATTCTGATTGTTGCTCAATCAGTATTTATCGACGATTTCTAAAAGCAAAACTTGTTTTTTTTCATTAATCACAAATCATATTTGATAAATCTCATTCATTATTCAAATAAAGAAGAAGAACTCTACAGTAGCACGATGCTATACTATCATATAAATTCAATAATCCTTCAACCTCATATTAGGCTTTGTATTTCTATCACCGAGATTAGAGAATATTCACGAGAAAAGAATTACTGTACATGTTCATATTGGGTTACCTAGGAGTAATAGCAACTTTACTTATAAAAAGCTATATCTCGAGAAGAACACATTTTTGCAAAGGTATCCAAGAATACTTTACAAAGATTGATACAAAGTTAGTTGGATTAAGGCGACGTAGAAATATAAATATTAGTTTGTAGAATAATACCCATGTTGAAAAAACTGGATGACTTTTAGCGGTAAATCGCCGGTTCTAATTGATATCGTGGTTTGTTATAAATTCCACCGGTTCACCGTGATTCACCGATAATTTTTCCGGAGAACTATAGGAAACGAATGACTGCAGAACGAAAAAAGAAAAAAAATATATATATACATGTGCGTGTCTGTCGCATCACTGATTTTGTTTGCTTGCTTGTTTAGAGAAAAAAAATCAATATAACAATAACGAAATTCAGTTGAGAATTAGTGTTTTTTTTTATATTTATTTTTCAGATTGATTTGTTAAAATTTTCTAATCTTTATTTTCTTAGATTAATTCTTTTATATTTCTATTTCAAGATTCATTTTTTTGTGTTTTTTTTTTGTGTTTGGCTTGTATTTTTATTTTTGGTTAACCCTTTAACGCCCAGTGACGCATATATACGTCCAAACATTTTTTAAATAAAAGTTTGGATTTTTGCAGAAAAAGCCGGGAGTCAAAGGATTAAGGACTAGCGTGGCAGATAAATCTCGTCAAGCTCTATCGAATGGTGTATTTTTTAATCCTTTGACTCTTGGCTTTTTCCTCGAAAAGCCAAATTTTTATAAGAAATGTTTAGACGCATATACGCGTCGCCGGGCGTTAAAGGGTTAAAATAAAAATTAGGTTAATTGAAAAATAACTGTTAAATTTAAGTGCATATATTAACGAAATAAAGAATCAACCGGTGTCAGTTAACTGCGGTTTACCGTAAGAAATTACCGATTAACCGCGACTTACCGGCAAGAACAGCCGATTTACCGCGGTAATGAGGGCCGGTAACCGAACCGATAAAACCGCAGTAAACTGGCGGTTTTTCTCCGGCTTTCATTACATGGATAGTGAACGCTCTGGAACAAATTTCTTTGCTCTTCAACTTCATTCAAAATAAAATATTGAAAATTGCTGAAAAAGTTAGGTTGAGTACTGTATAAAGCCGGTACACTTAATATGAAACCCATTTGAAAGGTTCATAAAATGGAAGTAACTAGTACAATGAAATGCAAATTCTGATCAATGAAATTATCACAAATCTGTTTATGAGACAAGGTCAATTTGTTCTTTGAAAAATTGGAATTCTCTCAAGGAATTCAGTACACAAAACTGACGAAGATGTACACTTTTTTTCAACTAATCTACCTTCTTTATTCTCTAGTCTAACTTATCAACAATGGGTTTATCTATTTGCTTTAGTGACATGTTCATGTTAGCTAGTATTATTTTTTTTTCTCTTAGACATTTTCTCTCATAGCATCAATACATAAAAAGTAAGATAGTCTACTTACTATCAAAGTAACACAATTGTATTCGATTGTACTTTTTGCTTTATCGTTGATCGTTTCTCATACGTATATATATTACTCAGATGAAGTGATGTGGTTATTGTCTCACTTACGCTTGCTGACATATAGAAGAGAAGAATCTACTCTTTCAAAAGGTAGGCAAAAACAATAAGCCAATATCATTTAATCATTCATACTTTTATTGTTCGCTATGTTGACACATTGTGACGTTTATTTTCACATTAGTTGGCTTTGACGTTTTCTAATAAACAAGCGTAAGGTAAATAGGTCCAATCTAGAAGAGGAGCATTCTCTCTTCGAAAACGTAGGCAAAAATCACGACTCAACATCACCTAATTATTCATATTTTCATTCTTTCTTATATCGATATCAGAGCTTCACATGGGATGGGATACTTTTTTAAAATTTCTGTTCAATTCCGTCCTATGAGACAATTAGCAAAA